ACCCCCCCCCAAATCTCTAGGAATTTCCCCAAACTAAAGCTGGAAAACCCCGGTCTCTTATGTTCCATAGCAGTGGCTTCCAGAGGCTTTTCTATTTCTCGGGCACGGAAACAGCCAAGTTATTATGACTGATGTCCCAACGTAGAAGTTCCGTGGACACGTGGAAGGGGTGGGGGAGCAGAAAGTCTCTATGGAAGCGGGGGGGGGGGAATCCCGCCCCCTTCCCTCTGGATCCTCCCCCTAAGACAGTCCTTTCCCTAGATAACTTCCCCTGACGTTTCAGCCCGTCTCCTGCAACCTGGCAGCACCCCCCACACACACACCTGGAATGCGAACCCCATTTCAAAGCACTAACCCAGGGGCCGCCAACCTTTTTGAGCCTGTGGGTGCCGTATGGGATTCTGACATGGAGTGTGGAGATGCAGCCCCGTGACACAGTGCCGGCCCCAGCGTACCTGCAGTCACGCAGCGGAGATTTTTGTGCTGCGGCGGCAGCCGCTGCCAAAGTAATGTTTTTAGGAATCCACGCAGCCTATCAGATCTCCAGTGGTCAGTCGGAAACCCCACCGGGTCCTGCTTGCTCTCCGAAAACACTTGGCGTCCACCACGGTGCCCGCGGGCGCCGTGTTGGGGACCCCCGCACGAATCTGCTATTTCTTGCCCCAACCAAGGAAGGAGGGAGGAGGAGGACAGGACTGAATGTAGGGAACCACCTGGTGGCCCCACGGAAGCAGCCGGGAACGGTAATGCCGCAGTCTTCAGCCGAGACCCAACGCATAAAGCCGCGTTACATTCTGAATGTACGTAGGGTGGGAAAGATGGGACTTTGTGGCACGAATTCAGTGTTCCCTCTAAGCTGAGTTAGTGTGAGCGAGCTCACAGGTTTTTAGCCTCTGGCCCACACATTTTTGTCTTCGCTCGGGAAGGATGGGGCTCCAGAGCAAACTGATTTATGCAGCAGCCGAATCTCCTGCTCACAATGTTAATGCCAGGAACTCACAGAGTAGAATTTTTGCTCACAGAGCTCCATAGCTTAGAGGGAACACTGGGCACGATCCAGCCCCCTCCGAAGCAGCGGAGAAGGGAAGATACATCCCAAAGGGGTAGGCCCCACCAATTTGCACGGCTTTTTAGACCTGTTCCTGCCAAAAAGAAAAAGAAAAGAAGATGCTCATGTAACAAAGAGCGCCAGAGGGAAATCATTTGAGTTCTGTAGCCTTAGGGATGCCCCGGGGGAAACGCTCTCTTTAGATCAAGGGACCTTATTTC